AATAGACGCTATATCCCTACATAGGTCTTATAAGATGAACCGCATTCATTTATAGTCATTTCATTGATGACAAATTCATTTTTTTTTCAAGAATTTATCTTCATTTTATTTCTATATTCATTTGTTAATAATTAAATGTAGTCAGTTTTCATCCAATTTAAATATTGAATAAAAACTAAATGTATATATATATATATAATAACATTTTTTTGAGTCGTTCTTTTTTCTCTTAATTTGATTTATACTCACATATACACACAGAAATGAATATTAGAATGAAAAGAAAAAAGAGAACGCTCTCATTGTCTTCATAAACCAAAGTATTACATATCAACAAAATCATGTGAAACAAAGAAACAAAAAAAAAAAAAGAGAAAACATTCAAAAGAAAAAAAGAGAAAAAAACACAAATAAAATGAGGAAAGAAAAAGACAAAAGACAACAAAGAACAATAAATAAATAGTGAAAAGATACGACTGTTGTGAAACTGATAGTACTGACACACTTATATATGAAAACTAAAAAAAAAAACACTGATCATCATCGAATTTTATTAAATAAATTAAGTACACTGTCAGATTCCTTATTGGCACGACATTTTGTAAATACATTCCAAAATCTAAGTGTTTCATCTCCGGCACCTGTTACAATTGATTCACCATCTGGTGATACAGCTAAATATAATACACGAAATGTATGTCCTGTTAAACGAGCTAATTGTAACATTGATGGATATTTCCAAACAACAATTTGATTTTGTGAATAACCATGCTAAAATTTATATGATAATATAAAATAAAATAATTAAGAGAGTAACTATGACATCATTGAGTATACGAGGCATTCGATAAGTTTTTCGTGCATCAATGTCTAAAACCACTAACCTCAAAACTTTAGCATCTAATACTCTCGCTTTCGAAAAGTTTAGTTAATACAAACTTTTTAACACTATCATATGCTTATAAGAGAAAACAACAAAAAATACTCGGTAAAAATTTTGCTTGTTGCCGCCTCAACAAATTATTCAAATTTTTATAAGACTAACCATGAATAAAAAAAAAAAATTACTCTTTCAAGGTACCTAAAACTTTTGTTTAATAAAGATCAATTGCCTGTCAAGATTCAGAATCTAAGAATTCCTAACTGAGTTTTATATAGGTTATGCAACTTTTTGTTCTCTACAAAATGATAAGAAAATATTTAAAAATAAACGATGCATTCGGGCCGAAATAGGGTTTATAGTTGACTCTGATATAATGATTGTTGATCATTTTTCAATAGAAAAAAAAACGTTTTTAGCAGTATTCATTGTCCTGACACATTTCCAAAGCAAAATAAATACGACGTTTGGAAGCCGCGTCAAAAAACATTTTAGAGAAATTTGTTTTTCTGTGAAAAATTTATTTGTGATCCTCTACGGTTGTGTTTTATTAAAGATTTTCCCCATAGTTCCCTAGGGATCAGTTTTTCACAGAAAAAAGGTTTCTGTGAAATCTAAGAGAGAGAGAGAGAGCTTTGAATCCCGTTTCAGCCTGAAGGTACCATTTTATAGACAATTAATTATTATTAAATGAACATTTTAGATCCATTGAAAGAGTGATTTTTCATTCATGTTAGTCTTATGAAACTTTACTGGATCAATAATTGTATTATATTAAAATAGATAATTTTGTTCACTTTTTAATTCTCTATCTTTTAGTATAACTTTAAAAAATTTGAATGATTTGTTAAGACAAAAAGAAAAATGAGCACAACTTTTAGAAGATATTTTTGCTCTTTTTTTTCTCATAAGTATATGATACTGGTAAAAAGTAGGTATTGACTAACTTTTGAAAGAAAAACGTATTAGATGCTAACGTTTACAGTTCGATGATTTCAGACATCGATACATTAAATGTAAAAAACAAAAATTTTGTTTTTAATCAAGTGCCACGTATACTTCATGGTGTCATAGATGATTGTTCTCTTAAATATTTATTTACCGTTGATACAAGTTCATTCGAATGTTTAGACCAAGCTAAATTACATACCTAAAAAAATAGATATATATAAGAAAAGAAAAATTCTTATAATAATATTTACTTGAGATCCAGTGTCAATACATTGTAAACTTTGTGCAGTTAATGTATTCCAAAATCGAATATAACGATCAGCTGTTCCACCACCACTTGCTAAAAGACCTTGTTGATGTGGACTCCACGCAATAGCTTTAACAGCTGCTGTATGATCAGTATAAATTTGTATCGGATTCATACATGATTGATTCCATACTAATAAACGATTATCATTTCCACCACTTGCTAATAATTGTCTATCAGGTGACCATTTTAATCCACATACTTCTTGTCTATGTCCAGCTAATTTACGTTCTTGTTTACTTGAACGTGTATCATTTTGTAATATAAAACGATCACGTGAACCTGAATATATACAATAATCATTCCAAGCTAATGCACCAACACGTGCTGTATGACGTGGAAATGAAACTGTTTTACGATTTGTTGTTGCATCCCAGATTTGAACAATACCTGAAAAAAATTTTTTTTTTTTTACAATAAATTTTTTTGAAAATATTAATTACCTTTATGAGTTCCAACAGCAACATATTGTCCACGATCACTCCAAGCTACACTTGTTACTGTATCTGATTCAGTTTGTAAATCACATAATCGTGTTACATTACTTGTATTTGCATTCCATAAATAAACAGATGCATTAAGTCCAACAGCTAAAATATTTGTTGATGACCAATCAACTAAATTTAAATAAAAATCATCTTGAAGTTCTGGTGCATCAAGAACTTTAAATGGAGTTTTAGGAATTTTTCGTAATTGTTTACGTGGTGAACGTAAAAGACGAATAGATGCTGGTGATAATGGTGATAGAGAATAAGGAGAATAATGTAAATCATCTGTATTACGACGAGCAGAATAACGAAATATTGTATTTGGATCACGTGTACGTAATAAATTTGAATTTGTATTTGTATATGGTAAACGTTGTTGAGATGATTGAGAAAGAATACCCTGAAATTTATTACAAAGAAATTTTAACAAAAATTATGTCAAAAATCTTTGAAAAAAAAGCTATCGAAGACTATATTTTTATCGTTTTGTCTTTATCTTTTGTTTTTATTTGGAAAGAGCATGCTAAGATTTCGAAATACTACAAAAAATGTAAGGTGTTGATAAGATACTATAAAACAACAAAAAAGAATCTTACTCATTTGTTGAGCAATAATAGAAAACTTTAAATTACTGAGCTATTGAGTGAGAACAACTATACGTTAGGTTGATCTTTTGTTCAGAGCTGTAATGTGATCACTATTAAGAAGATAAATGATCATTCCGAAAGCTTATTGAATGAAGGAAAAAACATTTGCCTTACGAAACTATCTTTTTGTCAATATTTTATACCGATAACGATAACCAAAAAGGCGGTTCTGTTTCTTCTTCTGAGTGAGCAGTCAAAGAGAATATCAGAGAGTAAATAAGTTACAATGACGTATTTCGAACTGATTGACCTTTCTATAAACAAAATTTGTACTTAATCATATATTGATTAAGTCAATATTATAGAATCGAAGTTAACTAATTAAACAAACAATTGTTTTCTCTGTCAATGAAAAAACAAAAAAAAAATTCAAATCGATCCAAAAAATAAGCTTTGACATTTTTCCAAAGACTACAATATCGTAAATTATTTTAAATAAAATATTTCTATTTACATTAGTTCCTGATATTGATGTTGTATGAATTACTCCACTGACAGATGGTCCATTTACTGTTGCTGTTCCTCCTTGAGTATTAATTCCTCCACTAATAGGTGAATCATTAGTTCCAGGTTGATTTGTAGTTCCTGTTGAATGATGATGATTACTGTTACTATTTGCATAAACACTATTCATATGTTGTTCATCATATAGACTATCAATTTGTGTACCAAATATTTCATTTTGTAATAAAGCTTGATAAGTTAATATATCTTTCGTTCTATCAGCAGCTATTGTTGTTCCATTTGTTGAAGAATTTGTATTTGTATTTGTAGTTGTTGATGGATCACGAGAAGATTTTTTATCAATCATTGGTCCTTTATGTGTTTGTTCTTGATCAATAAAAAATGCAGACGGTTGTGATAAACTTCGAAGTGGAATGAAACGATCACTGTGTTTGATCGGTGATGGAGATGATATTGGAGATGAAAATGGTGATGAAGAAAGAGATGAACAACCTGACATTGATTGTATAAGACGACGTTCGAAATCAGGCTCCATGATATTCTATTTAATAAAAAGAACAAGAATTTACTTCAATTACAAAATACAACGGTCACATGCATAGGGACAAGACAAAGACCTCTATCGTTATTAGTCACTTGTTTAAATCCAACAAAAAATGAGTAACAAATTCTTCGTGAATATTGATAAATTTTTCTTCTCTTCCAATTATTACATGTCTCAATTATGATAATTATTTTCTTTGTGAACACGTTCTTTATAAATTATTTTATTTTCAAAAACAAAAAAAATCTTGTCTGATAGATGGCGTAAATATACGTTCTTACTACAACAATAAAAGACGATGTCTTCTCTGAATGACGAATTCAATGCAAAGAAAATTCTAATTTCGATGTTGCTCGATATATTTGTCGCAAATGTCTCTTTCAGCTGTAGATAGATTCATATCGAGAATAACATGTTATAGTAGTTGTGCGAAAATATAGTCAGATCAAGAAACTAGTGTATTATTGGAAATCGAGTTATTTGTTGAAATAATCAACGAATATACATTTATACTTGTTATATTAGGTAATTCGCACAGCGCATCTAGTGTAATGGATGATAGTAAACATAAAATAATGACACAGAAATAGAAAAATTGTATATTAAAATGCTGTATTAGAATTATCATTGACAAATTTCAATGCTATAAGTATTAATTGATTCGTCTACTTAAACTACACTTATTTAATCGAAAAATCAATTAGTTTTTATTAACAAGAAACTCAATATACTTTGTAGTTAATGCGATTCATAATTAGCATGCGTATTTAGCAATTGAAGAGACATTTGACCTTGCTAACAGATGATCGATATTACTAGAATACACTTCTACTCAATTCTGTTGTACCGTCCTTATTGACACTTTAATGCAAACCTAAAGATCAAAACAATGCTATCGATTATATTTACTTTATGTTTATGCTGGAGTTCGTTATTTGATGGAAGAAGGAAGAGATTTAATCTACCTTGATTTACTTTATCTACATGCTCATTCAAAAGATCTCTTTCTGTATCAAGCGAAAGTAGTGAGAAGCGTATTCTTATCTTCTTTTACAAGCAGAAGATCGATGAAGCGAAGCGAGAAAAATGAATGATTTTTGAGATATCATATAGGTGATACACTAATGAACGAAACAAAGATAAAACATTGGTTAGCTGCTAAGGTTTCTTTCTTATTGATGTAGATAAATATAAAATTTTCTTGCAAACACAAGTAGAAAAAAACAAAGGAAACATATAGATACTGGAATCTATAAGAAAATTATTGGTATGAATATCTCTGTTTACCAGAAGAAAGCTTTTTCTTTTATTTAATTTTGAAAACAAATTCTTAGTGACGATAGACATATATTTTTTGTTGGACAGTCGCAATAATTTTATTTGACATTCATACAATCTTTTTCACCACATTCTATAAAACATTAGTTTTTTTTAGAGATGATCGTTTCTTATGATTAACAAGATTAGAATAAAAATTCATGATTGTATTTACAGCAAACCAGAAAGAGATTAGTTGAAAAATATTAACCATCTAATTGGGACATTTTATATGATCGAGCATATTGCTTAAAAAATATGACCAGTTATTTTTATTTAAACTGAATTTAAATAGCTATAAAGACAATTTTGACTTTTCACTGTGAGCCAGTTACAATGAATTGGGCTCATATATAATGTTGATTAAGATGTTAACCGTTATCTGCAACAACGTTTGCATCAATATTAGTAACCCAGGGCTATCCTTCCGACCATCGAAAACAGCATTTTATACGATCTGAAAGAAATATAGAATGGATGTCGGCATGTGTGGGTGTGGATGTCAATTATCTCTTAACTCACAGTCAGAATCACACTCATATGTGCATTTGCTTACACCCATATCCATTCTCACTCACCCACACCTACCCAAATTCACACCCACAGCCAAATTAGTATCCGATGAATTTAATGTAGTTGTCATCGGACACTATTTATATTGATATGATGTAAACATTTTATGTATACCTAGTGAGAGAGAAAAAGAATCAGTATCTGTAATAATGACGACATAAGATTTAATATTTTCTATATTTGAGCGAATATAAAGACATATGGAGAAACGGATAAATTATACAACGAAAACCACGTATACATGTCTATTTGGATTGTATTCTTAGTGAATATATAACAGATAAAAACCAAAGAAAAAGAAAAATACAATGTGTCATAGTGATGAAAATATATGATCTCTATTGAAAAAGAAATAGATTGTCTATGATGTATTTGAAATTGCCATAAGAGGAAATAAATACTATCTCGAATACGATACAGCATCCAAATTTTGATAGACATATGGTACGGAAATTATGACAAATAGCTATATTAAAAATATATCACATGTTTTTTAATAAAATTACAATTATAATAAATTGTTGCAGAATTTTGTCACTTGTCTTTGCTTTCACATATATGTAATGAAAAAAAAAAGTGTCTTAAAACAAGTCATGGTTCATTAGGATCTATATAGTACTTATGACCTCATTAAAAAAGCGAATGGACACGAAAAGACACTCTTATGTATTCTAAAATACAATATGTCATCACACTTTAAGCAAAATGTAGAATGTGACTTTGCTAATGAAAGAATAAGCCGATCAATGTAATATCATACTAAGCGCATGTATCGATTTCAGTTTAAGTATACGTTTTTCTAGCTTAAGAATATTTATCAAAGATCCGTATCAATTTTTTTGTCCAAGGCACGTAAATTCGGTTTGTTAAATTTCTTCTCCAACATCTTTTATTTTCAACGAATAGAAATTTCTTAACTTTCATGAACAATACATACTTATATATCGATAACATGCATCATATTCATTTGTTTGTCGACCAGAATAATAAATGGATCAAGTAATGCTGTTGAGTTACTACTGAGAATACTAGTACTCAGTCCTACTAAGGTCAAAACTCTGTTTTCAATTCTTTGATCACGATTTAAGGCGTCTATTCCTAGCATCTAAAACTTAACTTTTGTTCAAAAGTGAAGTATACCTTGAGGAAAATTAAAAAGTTCAGCCGTCAATTCAGTGTCAATAATTTTGTCAACTAATTTGTCTTTCAGTGTTTTAAATTTCATATTTCCACTATTTTTTCTTTGAGGGTGTGAGTGTAGGCCTAACTACGAGATAAATTGGATGACAAACATCCACAACCACTCGCGCACATTCTCACACTCTCATAGCCGTATTGACTTATCCATATCGTGGAAAAACCAACTTTTGCACCTTCAGTTTTTGCATTGTGCTTTATCTTTAGTTGTCGCAAACATTTTGACTTAATTATTTTGAATTTTTCCTTGTTCTATATTTGTTTTGGATTAAAACGGTGTCCCACACCTTCCTTTTTGCTCATTGTGTGTCGTCATTTGGTTTCTGTTATTATAATGACGAAGGTTTTTTTATACATCATTGTTAATTGTTGAACATGAATATCCCAGATGGATTATTCCGATTGTCGGAATCGGCGTCTTATCCGACCTAAAACAGCTATAAAACGGCGAATTACTGCAGTAATTTTGGGCTTATTTCGCCATAATTCGTTATACCGTATTATGAGCCGTTTCCATCGTTAGAAAACGGCCGTCATTTTTTCTCGGTTTTTCTTCCGTAATCTGGTATGACGGATTATGGCGCCGTTTATCGACGTTTTACATCGTTAATCGCCGTTTCAGGCCGTTTCCGATGCCGTTTTATTGGATCTGGGATATCTATATATATGTACACAGTTGATGATTCTTTCTACAAAGTGTATTACGTGACTTAATTACAACACTCATATTCAATGTTTAAATAGTTACCTTGACAGTACTACTGAATTATAGATACAATTTCCAGAGAGGTAACGTACAATGTATTGGATACGTGTATACTTAGTTTTTTATTTCAGGGAACATTCTTGATAGTTGAAATGACTTATCAAATTACTATTTTCAAAATTGAGAATATTTTTTAGAGTAGTTATATAAGATCTAGTTGTTATTTAAAGGCTACAATTTTAGTAATGAAAAAAGAGATTACTATATAGCTTT